GGGTTTTAGATTGATTGAGATGGAAAACTTATCCTTGGGATATTAAAATAGATTGGAATTTGTATAGTTTTATATAATTTGAGTATATTCTAGTATAGAATCTGGATTTAATGAGAAAGTCAATAAAGCTATATTATATTTGCAAAACGCGGTTGATATATACTATCACATCTTATTTGAATCGAAATCGATTTGATATAAACAGCTAGTCGCTGTATATTTGATTATTAATTGAATATTGAAAGAAGTGTAATAGACTTTTCTCAATCTTGTATTTATAAGTGTTTATACTATTTTTGTAATTGAATCTGATATGATAGATTGCAAAGTCATTGTATCCGATCTGTATTGTTATGAATTTGTGTAGTATCCCGCAAAGGAATTTGAGATTTTCTAGCTTCGAGATATTATATATCGGTTTCCATGTATTATACGTTTCGAAGATCAGGCCTCTTTTTTCCTTCTACTATCTGCTCTCGGAGCGCCGACATTGGCACGTAGAATGAGTAATCTATATACTTCAAAGACTTTGCATTATTACTAGATTATAGAACAATTTCCTCTATTTCCTATATGCTTTTCTATTACGAAAAAAGCAAAATTTATGTACGCGCCTGTTTATCATATTATACTATAATATAAATAATAATATCTTATTAGAATTATCAATATATCTATAAATTAGATAATTATAAAGCTTAAAAGCAAGCTTTTTCGAAAAAAAGGGTAGTATCACGGATTGCATTCAATTACAACTGCAATTGTTTATATACATGTTTGCGCATATATATGATCACATATATATAGCTAGTATATAAAAGCGTTCTATAAGCACTTTACTTCTGATTCTATAATTATAGATTCTAAGGATAAATTGTACCCTGCTCTCGTAGTTCTTCTAAGGCAAAGTGTTACAATAATCAGAAATGTATAGTTTCCCTTGATAATATAGCAAATTGTTATTTTCAGTACACTCAATAAGAGTAATTTTCGGGTATTTCAGGGATCCCTCTTGTAGAGATTTCAGGATAGATTTGGGTACAGGGTCGGCTTGATAACCTTTATGGAACAGAATAAGCAGATCAGCAGAAAGATCTAAAAGGGTTTCTGAGTTTTTTAATTGTATCACAAAGTTGGGTACAGATATAGTATGTGGGATTGCAAGCTCTATAACTTTATTATTTTCTAATAAAATTATAGTATTGTTGGAATCCAAGTGGTTGATAGTATCAATAGGGTTGGGTGTTACGGGAGCTGCCTCTAGGGTCACATGGAAGTGGCTAGAGATCTCTCGAAATGGTTTAGACTAAACTTTAAGTAGGAATTCAATAAGGTTATAATTGATTGTAATTCTCATAATTATAGTAATAAAACTAATAATTGTTTTTGAGCATAAAGCTTTATATTATAATGAAACCCATTCTTTATATAGATCTTCATTCTGAAGTCGATCGACAAGTCGATTAGCAAGTCGATCGATAAGACGATCGGCTTTTGATTATATGACACTTGTTCCGTAATTCCTATTATCCTAACTTGTTCTTTTGTTTTGGGGTTTAATTCCCTGAAACATTATTAATTCTAATAAAGCCTTCTTGCTTACTATATTCTGTCTTTCCTAGGATCTACTATTCTGGGAATTATATTCTAGATTTCTAGGGTATTCTATAACTAATACTATATATATGCCTAAGGCTTTCCTTAAATGCCTAGTGTCCCCCGGTATACTGCAGCTGAATCACTGAGGCCTATAATACCATTATAGCCTATAAGTCAGTGATTCTACAGCCTGTTACTAATCCGTTGTAACATTGGGATTTCTTTAGCTATAGGTAATTACAGTGAAACATACTTTCTTGACAATTTTGGGTTCGATTAGGGTAATTGTGATGGGAAACAGATCGGGATCCAGGTTCTCTTGTTTCAGGATAGTATGGCTTTGGTGTAGAAGGCATTCATCCCCCTCCTTAAAGAGATCTTCTAACCTCTTAATCAGCGTATCGGATTTGGCACCTAACTTCCCGGAGCGATAGGTAATTCAGAAATTAAATCGAAATAGAAATTCGGATTAGTAGGTTTAATAGTAATTCAATAGCTTTATTGTAATGAAGTATTCCAGATTTCTATGATTGATGATTATTTGAATTAATAATACAATACCTTCCAACTCGAAATATCATTCTTTGAAACAATGGATAATAGCTAGTAGTTCTTTATTATAAATCTCATAATTATATTCAGCTACCGAATGTTTTTTAGAGAAGAACGCAATAGGTTTAAGTATTCTATCATTGTTGTATTAGGAAAGTACTCTGGTGGATACATAATCAGAAGTATCGGTTTTTACAATCACTTTCTTTTCCCAATTAAAGGTATCGTAGGTCATGAGCTAGTATATGAGTATATAGTATATAAGAGGGAATAGACTAATATTAGTCTATTATGGGAAGCTGGCTCGTATTAACAACTAAGTAGCTATGAAACACGTGATTTTCATGAAACAGTATATGATATTCTTATTTTCTTTTTCTTCTATATTCGAGGGGAAAAGGTCTTATTTTATGCTTTTTCCTACTAATCTAGCTTTCCACTTTCGTTTATTTCTCGTAGATCTCTTCCTAATCCGGCCATTCCATCAAATAAAGCTTTTCTTTCTTATTCCTTATTCGATTTCGCTAGTACCTAATAAAGAATTGATTTTCAGGCCGTTCTGGGCTAAGAGCTCTCTTAAGCGACGATCATGTGATTTGATCATGTGATCCTGTGATTCGCTCTTAGTATACTATATGAATATAGAACTATATATATAAAAAGATATATTATTATATTATTTTTTATATAAAAACAATAATTTTAAACCTATCTTATTGTTTATCCATCTATTGGAAGTAGATTTAATAACCCAATCCATAGGGAAATCGATTTCAGTATATCAATTAGAGAAATGAACCTATCCTTGAACTACTAGAAATAGAGATATAATTTTACCCTCTCCATTATTATTGTTGGAAATCATATATATGATACTAAGCAGTATGCTAGTAACAAACATCTTTTTCTATTCTAACAATTATATATAATCGCTATAGCTTACTCTTTATTGCCTGATTGTTTTGTCTTGCTGTAAATTAAAATAAATAAATAAATAAATAAATAAATTGTTTTGTCTTGCTTCTACCATTTCGTTTAGCATTGGTTATAACCATTCCAGAGTATATTATACTCATCATAAAGCCAGTTTCATCGAAATTATAGAAATCGCAATCGAGAATATCATATTTTGCTTGTATACTCGAAATTAGATAAAATTAGTTTTCAATAAGTTTGGGATCTTTGTAAAAAGCTTTTTGAAAGTTATAAATACAATTAAAATACATCTTTAATCTTATATAATACTTTACAAATCGATAAGCCCAAAGCTTTCCAACTTTCTTTGTACTTTTTAATTCGAAAATATAATTCGCTATATCTTCCATACCTTTGAGTTTAGGCGGAAACCCTTTATCATTCATATTAATTATATATTGAATAATCATTTCCTTTTCCAATTCTATAATCTTATAGGTTTTGTATCGATATTCTTAACAAAAAGATAAGACCATCCATTCTATGCTGAATCATTATACACAGAATATTATACAGCTTAGCAGCTTTCCGAATATTTAATTTTTTGTCTTTTTGATAGCTTCAATAACTAGAATGATTTGTGCTTCTTTGTTAATTGTTTCTATAATAGATTATTAATAAATCATATATTAAAGCAAAGAGATAATAATTGAAGTGAAAGTGGCCCATATGATGATAAACCACGTTATACTTTATTATCTATATACTTCTATATTCTTTTCCCTTGAAATTCTTTTTCCTTTAAATTCTTTTCCCCTTAAATTCTTTTTCCTTTAAATTCTTTTCCCCTTAAATTCTTTTTACCTAGAATTAATTCTTTTCACTTCGAATCACTAAATCACTAAATCACTAAATCACTAAATCACTAAATCACTAAATTTTTAAAATTAATATAATTATCTAGATAGTATTTGAATTAGTTTATTAATTTGAAATCTTATTAATTCTATTACTTAATATACAATTAAGATTATTAAGACTTCAATTTTGAATTTCAAAATTCTCTTTTCTCTTTTCTCTCTCTATCTCTCTCCATCTCTCTCCATCTCTATCCTCTAGCCTCAGAACTCAACAATTCTACAATTCTATAATTCTATAAATCGATAATTTATAAATCTGTTTTATTTATTTATTTATCTATTTATCAATCTATCTATCTCTCTACCCTTCTATCTATCAATCTGTCTCTCTATCCTTCTATCTACCCATCTATCGATCTATCTGTAGAGAGAAAGCGACAGAGAAATCGAGAAAAGCAAAGCAGCAAGCGAGAAAGCAAGATCCTCCAAACACCAGCCAACTTATCATTTTGTGTTTTCTCAATCTCAATCTCAACCTCAACCTCATCCCAAATCCTGACTATCAATCTCCAAATTATACAATTCCTCTCCCTCACTTCCCACCCTTCCCATCCTTCCCATCCTTCCCATCCTTCCCATCCTTCCCATCCTTCTCATCCTTCCCATCCTTCCCATCCTTCTCATCCTTCCCATCCTTCCATCCTTCCCATCCTTCCCATCCACCCCACCCTCCGCATCACTAAAAACATCCTCCCCCGGACTCGGAATCCCCGCCGTAATCCCCTCCACCTCCCTTTTCCTCTTCAATTCCCAACCAGCATACAGATTCCTACCAGAGGAAGATGTTCTTCTCCACCTGCACCTCCACCTGCACCTCCACCTGCACCTACAACCTACACCTGCAAAAGCAAAACCTCCTGCATCAACAAACCCCTTCGTCTCTCATACCCAGCAAAACACTTCTCTATTCCTCCCAGGACATTTTGATACTGAGCCCAAAGAGGAGCAGGAGCAGGAACAGGAGCAAGAACAGGAGCAGGAGCAAGAGGAGCAGGAGAATTCTCCACAATCCCTCTAATTTCCCCCGCATCTCCAATTTCTAGCCGAGGGGGTCCAGCAACTGGAGATCGAGGTTGAGGTTGAGGTTGAAGAGGAGGAGGAGGAGGATAGTTAGGAAATTGAGCAGCATAATAATTTCCATTCCGATTTCCATTCCCATTCCCATGTCCATTTCCATTCCCATTCCCATGTCCATTTCCATTCCCATTCCCATGTCCATTTCCATTCCCATTCCCATGTCCATTTTCATTTCCATTCCCATACATAATCTCAAACTGCGATCGACGCTGTTCACGAAGTAACTGTGCCTCTTCCACCGCTTCTCTTCCTGCATTTCGGATTCTCTCCCTATCTACAGCCGCAGCCGCATCTGCAATTCCATCTCCATATGCAATCTCCCCCCGTAATCGATTTCGTTCACGAAGTTGTCGAGTATGTTCCTGGTTTCTATCGAGAATTCTTTGCCTCTCCCTCTCTGCATCTCCATTTCTATTCGCATGTTGAGGGTTAAGTAATCCGTGGAAATGTCGAACCGTTTCTCCGTACGCTTCTCTCCTTCGGATTCTCTCTCTCTCCCTCTCCCTGTCCCTCTCTGCAAATGCATCTTCATTCACATCTCCATTCCGTGCGACAGGATTTGGGAGACCAGGATTCTGATTTCCATTAACATCTCCATCTCCATTCCGTGCGACAGGATTTGGGAGAAGGCGATTCTGATTTCCGTTTGCATCCCCATTCCCCTCCTCCTCCTCACCCCCTAAACCAAAACCATACCTCTCACGAAGTTGTATAAATGCCAAGGGCTCTCCCTCTCCCATTCCGCATTACCCCGCCGCGCCATCACACCCGGCAAAACAGGAATTTGCAGATCCCCACCCTCTTCTCTAACCACCCCCAGCCCCAGCCCATCTCGTTCTTCTCCCAACTGCCTGCGCAGCACGACTCCTCTTGCCCTCCTCATCCTCGCTTCATTGCGCGCACGATACGCATCTGCCATATCCCTCAACAACTCATCCCCTCTTCCTCCATATCTCTCCCCATCTCTCTGTCTCGCGACAACACGCGGTGCCGGAGGTATTGGTGCAAGAGGAAACTTCTCCTTTCCCTTTCCCTTTCCATTCCTATTCCCATCCTCTCCGCCCGCTTCCCCAGCGTCTAGAATTTCATTCATGTGTCCTGCCAGACCCCTCAACTGTTTTTGCAAATCTGCAATCAGATGTCTATTTCTGGGTTTGGGTACTTGAGCTTGAGCGGGAGCCGGAGCAGGAACAGGAGCAGGAAGTACCCCACCAACCCCCCTCTCCCTCTCCACATCTGCATACATCGCTCTCGCACCTTCGAGATATTGACGAGCCATTGGATCAAAGACTGGATTTCCGTAACCATCTTCCATTTGCTGAGCAGGGAGTCCAGGCTGCATGACCCCTTCGTTCTCGTCCAATTCCTCATCCTCATCGAATTCATCATCCTCATCCTCATCGAATTCATCATCCCCAAGCTGCGGTGCCCCAACCATATTATTTTCCATATTCCGGAGATGATCATCTCCATCATCTCCCCCTATCGCGATCCTTAAATTTCGTCCATGCCTCCTAATCCTATCCTGAAACTGCATATACAAATCTACTATCCCAAAATAAATTAGTACATCTTTCCAAAAAGAAAGAAAAACACTCCTCCCCTCCCCTCTCGATACCCAAGATCCCCCGCAAAAAATTAAAGAAAAGAAAAATATCCAAGATAATCCACCCCCCCTCCTCCCAGATGCTAGTTCCCCAGTCACCCAATATCTCAATAATCCTATGTACTCGAATCCATCTCAATTTCCCACCCTCTCTCTCCTCTTCCCCCTAAATCTCCTAACTTTCCGTTTCAACTTTGAAATCATCACTTTAAGAACTACAAAAAAGTACACATATATTTAGTGACCACCATTTCTAACCTCTGAGAACTTCCTCTCTACCTCGTCTTACCCCCTGGTTCCACTCCAAAATATCAAAAAAAAAAAAAAAAAAAAAAAAATACGAATAAACTCACCATGATCACGATGCAATTCTTGTTGTCCTGTGTACCCATTAGTCAGCAAATATGCAATAATGTCTATGTTGCATGCATCGCAATTAAATGACTACTCCAAAACAAAGGGAAGCAAAAAAACCACATAACATCTATCCGACCCAAAGGCTTTGGTAATGGTATTTATCTTACTACCTAGTATCTGGTTTCAAAAGAAGAGAGAATAGAATACCATTTCTAAGATTTACCCACCCAATGCCGAAAGCCAAAGATCATATAACATTATGGTATCAATTAACAACGAAAAAATCATTACGAAGTACTAACCCATTGCTACCGGTCGAAAATAGGCATGTTGAACTCTTGGATCCATAGCCTTTCTCCTTTCATCATCCTTGGTGACATTTTCCGACATCTTAACTCTCAAGTCCTCCTCGGAATATTCGGGATGTTCTGCACGAACTTTTGCCAGTGCTTCTTTTTCGGCCTTCTTAACTTCATCATTATGTCGTTCCTCCACTGATTCAAATAGTGGACAATTTCCTTCTTTACCACCTCTCCTTACATCATTAAAATGATCGTAGTTGCATGATTTGGAACAAACATAGCATTGAACGTTATAACATCCATTGCGTGTGCATGTCATTTTATTGCAACCTTCTTCCTTTACAAATGGAGTACCGCATTTGTTACAATTCCTAATCATTGCTGCAGACATTGCTTCCTCAATTTGTCGTCTAACCGAGAGACCATTTGCCTTGGTATTTTCTTCACAAGTCATAGGAATATGCGACTCCAATTTACAAAGTCGACAACTGACCTTTTCGCAATCAGGAGCTTGACATCGAAATTCTCGATTGACTTCGACAGGAGGATATTCTGCTGCGAACGGACAAAATGGACAGCTGGCGAGATTTTCGATACCAGCCATACGCAAGACAGCTTCTGCTTCATTACGTTCCAAGGCGACGATGGTTAATTCGTCTAGGAATTGATTTCTGCATAATAGATAAGTACAAATCTGAAAATCTAACAATTGAGAATACTCACCTTTGTTCAAGAGAAAATCCTGCCTCGCATCCATCTGTGGACATACACATGAGCAGATATTTAGAATTTCCGATTTCGGTCTCCGCTGATTGTCGTGCACACCCACGGCAAAACCAATGTAGGACTTGTTCATTGTTGCAATGCACCATGCGATTGAGTGGATAGTCGGAATAGCAGCAGCAGCATTCGGACATGGTCCCCTCGGCTTCAGCTTTCTTTAGATTCTCTTCTTCTGCGAGTATTACTTCTTGTTCGGCGAGGCGACGACTTTCCGCAGTCTTTCGAATCTTCCGACACACAAGTAGTTCTTTTAAAATCTCTGTCTTCTCGGGAAATTCATTCCTTTGAATAGATTCATCAATTCTACCATCTTGGTACTCATATGGCATTTTTCTTGGAGTTTTAATTCTCCTATATGGTGGATTATTAGCATCAAAAGTTCGATCTGCTTCCTCGAGTGCGCGATAGGCGGAGAAAAGACGATGGCCGGTAGAACGTAGTGTATCATCTACAAAGGTCAATGGAGTTACTGGAAACTCAAATGAAAGGATGCTCCGACTAGGTAAATGTTAGCAAAAGAAAAATAGAATGGGGAAATGGATGAGTGATTGAGATGAAACATAATATACTCACATTAGTGTCCGCTCAAAATATAAAGCAGGCCCAACGACGCGACCTGCGGCTTCATATTTTTGTATAGCTTCCTCTTCTTCGGTGAGTACTCTCTTTCTCTTCAATTGCTTCTGGACATCTTTTGCTTTTGGGTAAGGAGTTCCAGTATCCGCTTGATCCAGTATGTGAGCAATCAGTCGACCAGAAGTGATAGATACCTTTTCATATAGACTAGCGACATGATCCCTACAGATCTCTGGGAAGACTGCAACCACTGCATTGATACACTCCGTCTTTGTTTCCATCATAGGTGGATTTAAATTGTTTGGTGATGGCGCAAATGGTTGATGGAGACGAGAAGGTTCAACAAACGAAGGAGGAGGGTGTGAAGCTCGATTGTATTCCGCTCGAAAGGTATAATCTTCCAACAGTACACGATTGATACCTTCGTCATTTTCCTCATCCATCCACTGCGCCCAATTCATTTCCCCTTCTTCATTCTTGACAGGAGAAAGATTTCTGGCCATTGCTTTATTTTCGGGTGCAGCTGCAACTGCGGGTTGAGGCAATTGGCCTGGATACACTAGGTTGTTATCCTCGAGATCAAATATCTGGTTGTTGGCACCAAAATACCCTCCGAGTTGATGATGTTGTAAATCTAGATGCGGGGGATGTGCGGGGACTTGAGGTACATCAAAAGCATCTCCATAGCCTTCGGAGTCCGAATCCGAAATTTCGATATAGTTATTCACTGCATTTTGAATGAAGGGTTGTCTATCTCTCGGTGGACCATTTTTATGGTTCACTGGAGCTGCTTGACTCATGTCGTCAAAGTGAATTTGTTTGCGGTTGGCGGTTGATCAATATGATGAGTTCTTGCGTAGTTGGTTTTTTGGAATAGTGTAAGTTGGTGAAGAGGGAGTGTTGGTCAAGAGTGTCGTGAGAATGATCGTTTGCATATTCAAGACGTTTGACTTTGTCGAGGGTAGTGGGTGAATATTAAGTAAAGAGAATTGGTGAACCGAGTGACATTCTATAGAATCTAATGTGATGGCACTAGGAGTGTACTAGTAGAATTTTTGACGTTAGTAGATTCTTCTCTTAAACTTTGGGGGGGATCGAATCCGAATCCGGTTCTCGAAGTGAATATCTAGGTAGGTATGCAGATTCTGAAAAGGAACCGGACTTTATGTGTGGTGACGAGGTAGACTAGAAGAGACTCGACGGAAGAAGTTCTAGTAGTATATCGTCCGCTCATGTATGGAGAGATGAAACATGAAACAATATTTATATTCTCAAAGTCTCCAGAATAGAAGATGAAAAGGAATGAATCATATCATACCACAAAGAAGTGAAGAATTATGGGATTCACCTGGGCAGAGATATCAGGTTGTGTCTTTTTTGGAGAGTGAGGGGTTATGAATGAAGTCAAACGTATGTATGTACCTAGGTAGGTATGATGCAACGGTATGTAGAGGTTTCCAAATTTATATTGTATTATATTATGACCTTACAACGAACGATGTAGAGTTTCAAGTATATTCTGTACTGAGTTGATAGGAAAGTGCGGTATGAAGAAGAGGAGAAGATGAACTTGCCAAGCGCATTAGAATTAAGAAGAGATTCCCAGATGACAATTGATTAATCATACCTGCCGAGTAAGTGGTAGGTAGGTAGAGAGTGAAGAGTGACGAGGTGAAGTGAAGTGAAGGCAGAAATGAGTGAAAATGGAAGGTAGAGTTGGGAAAAGGAAGCTAAGGTAAATGGATCATCATGATTACCGGTATTTTTAATTTACATGCTAGGTAGCGGTCTCTACCTAGCATGCATATTGAGAAATGATGCACGATCATAGGTTGCACATGATAATCTGCTCCACTTTTTTTCCATCTCTGACTAGGGTAGCTCGAGAGTCGATGGGCACGAGAGGTACGATATTGCGATGGACTAGCCTAGCTACTACGAGCTACCACTACCTAGCTACCAGCTGTTTGTGGAAAGGTCAGAGCTCCTCCTACCTTGTCCTGTCAAATGACGCACAGACTTTTTCTATGAGACCAAGGGTCGCTGATCTGGATTTGGGTGGACGTGGACGAGGGGAGAGAAGTAGAAAAAGCCCCACATTGGGAAAGTGATGCATCACTCGATAAATGTATGGTGGTGGAAGAGTGTGGAGGGTGAAGGCTGAAGGGGAAGGGTGGAGGTGAAGAGGGAAGGGGTGAAGTGTGAATAGATACACAAACGGAAATCTTCTAGAAGGGCCTTTATTAGATGGAAGGGTATAGTAGATAGATACTCGGTACCTAGTACGTACAATGAGTTTCCCATCATTTCTACTCGATAATGATTACCACTACTTGATCACGTTCAATAGAAAGAATCAAAATCAAGGTCTAGCTTTGACATCGTCACATCACTTTCCTACTTCACTCTATGGAAGCATTGTGAATAGAATAAATAGATACCTATGTCGAAACACCCCTATTCTCTTACCTATCTCTCATCACATCCTTCACGCAATTCCCACCCACGCACATTGCCAATGGAATCATTCTGGAAAGAGGTTTCTCATGTAGTCAATAAAGTAATTGATTCTTCCCAAAAGACACAACAGACCTTCACCCCAATACGACATCCGATCATGTACAGTATCGTTGATCGGGAAATTCTTCTTAGCATCTCTCATTCATGGGTATGGGAGTATCCAAACACAGCATATTCAGGATGCCACAATCGTATTGCATCGGTCCAGTGAAAACATTCAACACGTTCTGTGCGTCGCACTCGCTGTACGTTCTATACTTTCTATCAGACGGTGTAATTTGGTACTCTTTACATATATTTAGATCCTCAACTCACAGCTCAGGTCTGAGGAATCAGGAACCAATCCGAATATCAGAAATACTTTGGTCGATCGATGGTACGGTGGATTTTGAATCATTTCATTTTGGATTCATCAGGGATGTGGAAGTGATTGTAGAAAGAGAGAGGAGAGGAGGGGAGAGAGGGAGAGAAAGAGACATTTCGGGTTTGGCAAGATGAGAATGAATATGGATATGAATTTAATCCATCACTTCTCTCTTTCTCTCTCTTTTCCCCTCTTCCCCATTGCCGATGATGTTTTCTAATATTGATATCTAGGTATATACATCTATATATACCTATACATACCTCTCTCTATACAAGGCATTCTCCAGGCATTTCATCAGGTAGACTCAAGCGGGACGAGGTAAGTTACTGCAATCGAATGTATCAGGAGTGAAACATTGAAATCTTACCACAGAGTAGATATTCTCTCCTCGACTCCCAACGATGTCACTGCCGACTATCGTTACTTGAAGTCTTTGATCAAACATCCTACTATGTAGATACCAAGTAAGTTAATGCACCCCATATTATCACTAACGTTATAGAATCTGACCACTTTGACCCCTCTGACCCCTCTGATCCTCTGATCCTCTGATCCCTTCGTTACCTAATGCTTTTACAAAAAACATCATCTTCTCTCCAGACTTTCACATGATGATATATTTCTTATCGTTATCACTCTCGATTCCCCGAGATTAACCGTACGTTTAGCCTGGGCAATTTCATTTAATCAATGCTCTCTCCAATTGATTGTTATATATGGAATTACATACATGCACAACTTCAATTCGATTCAACATCTATGGTCATAAGTATGTCCTCATACACCTCCCTAGGTAAACATCCTCTCTCACTCAACAAGTGAAGAAACATTCAAGAAGATCATGAAGCTTCTCTCGTTTCCAAAAATCCCGTGATCAACATAGCGGAAAGTATATCTCAGCCCAGGCCTCCATAAATCCGGTTATTATCGGCCCCGGATCTCACCGTTCTTCGTCCTCAAAGTCTCAAACCACCAACCATCAAATCATCAACTTCCTCGATACGAACTTGTCAATGGTTGAGCATACCGGTACCCAGTCATCAATACCTTGAAAGGCAAGAGCTTTGACTAAGATTAACTCAGCTTCATGCGGAGATTATGATCATTTGATGTGGAAGTATTCACCAATTGCTAATCCTTCACTCCTAAATCATTGTTTGGTCTTTAGTTAGTCTGATGGGTTGACCTAAAAGACGTATTTAGAAGGTAGATATTGCATCCCTTCCTTCAAAGAGGACCCTTTCCCCACAGGAAATGCATGCTATCATCTATCTACTTTTCTTTTGTTAGGATTTACCACATATCTACCTTCTTATCAGAGTTCAATTCCCCACAACAGAGGGAACAGAATAACTTTATTAGAGTGCCAAATCTCACAAAGAAGTTTCGATTCATAAATATTTGTAGGAAGATATCTTTCATTCAATCTACTTTCTGCTTTCCTACCATTCAAACATGTTTCCAGATTACAATTCCCCAGATCTTCATCTGGCTCACCCAACCCCAGAAGAAAAGCTAGCAACGTGGAATCTCAACTATGAAGAATGGGGCAAAGCACTTTCCAAATCAGACTATCTTCATCGGGAACAATATCTCGCCAGCGTTCCCTTGACCTCAGAAGATGGAATAACCTACTGGTGTCTAGTCGATAAATCCGCCCCTCCAAACAACCGGGAAATCTATGCCTCCTGCGAATCCCTCCGTAAAAAAGCTTTTCTATCCAAAGAAGGAAAAGTCGAAGAAGTTATCATTCATTCAATTGGATCTGTTTTTTGTCCTCCCAAAAATCGAGGCCGTAAATATGCTTCTCGAATGATGACAGACCTGGGCAATATCCTCAAAACATGGCAACTCGACCCCAACATCCCCGGACGTCAAAAAACCCCCGCCTCCATCCTCTTCTCCGACATAGGCAAGAAATTCTACGCAAATCACGGCTGGCATCCCTTCCCCTCTTCGCACATTTCCCTCCCCCCTCTACCCAACCCCGCACATTCCACCCCCTCCCCCTCCTCCCATCCCACCACCCTCCTCAAAGAAGAAGACCTCCCTCCCCTCTGCGACCTCGACACCACCTACATCCGCCGCGTCCTCTCCCGCGCAAACGACCACAAAACCCACATCGCGCTCCTCCCCGACCACCCCACCATCCAATGGCACCACCTCCGCGAAAACGTCATGTCCGTCTCCATCTTCGGGCGCGCCCCCGAAATCAAAGGCGCGCTCGCCGGAACATCCCCCGGCTCCCGCGTCTGGGCCTATTGGACCCGCGGCTACTACGGCCCCGTCGATTCCCCCTCCTCGGGAAATTGTCTGCACATCTTGCGCTTGGTGCTGGAGGATGAATCGAATAGTGCGGAGAACGCGGAGAAATTAGAGGCGGTGTTGCGCGAGGCGCAGAGGGAAGCGAGCGAGTGGAAGATGAATGAGGTGCAGTTTTGGAATCCGACAGAGTTGGTGGAGGACTTGTTGAATCGGTCCGAGTTGGGCGAGAAGGGTATCCATCGGAAGGTGGAGAGGGAGGAGGAGAGTGTGGCCAGTTTGATGTGGTATGGTGAGGGAGAGGGGACCGTGGAGGAGGTGGAGTGGTGGGGAAATGAAAAATATGGGTGGTGTTAGATTTTGGTTTTGGTTTGGGTTTGGGTTTGGGTTGGGTTTGAGGGAGGAATTGTGGTAAAGAAAGATGGGATAAAAATCTATCATCATCGTCGTCATCATCTTTTTCTTAACATGGGCGGCAGCGGATCTCTTTTACATTGCATTACATCACATTACAATACACTACACTACTACACTACACTACACTACATTGCATATAGCAGCGAGCAGTAAACAGTAAGCATAGCATACCACATATCTCATCCCATTTCACCTCACAGGAAGAAGATGAAGCGGTAACATTTTGACTCGCTA